ACCGTACGTCCGTACACCTTTAACAAATCATGTCCACGCATCTCAAAGCAAATGAACAGTAAGAGGATAATTAATTGGGAAAAACTTTTTAAAAAGTAACCAAAGTATTATAAAAGGAATCCAAGAATCGTAGAGTTGGGAATCTTTCACAAGTGAACCAAAACGTGAAAATATATCACTTTTTTTCACTTTTCAAAGGTTTTTCAAAAATAGACTAAAGAAGGTTTACTTTTCAAAAAAAGACCACGATCACTATGGGTCTGCTTGTTACGTAGTATTTGTGCACGGTTTTTTTTTTTACGAAATTGCATACCGAAGATTCAAATTCCGTTCATGCGCCAAACTACCAACTTCTACTCCATAATTACACTTACAAATTTTATAATTTTTGAAAACTAAGCAAATAAAAATGGAAAAATGATATAAAAATTCAAACAAAGAAACTGAAACAAATTTATACATTTCCGAGATCTTTTAAAACATTAAAAAGGTAAAAAGGTAATCAAAATACAATAAATGTATAGAATTATAAAATTCGAAACTAATAAATAGGTTAATCAAATTTTAAAATACGTAAAGCAATAGAAAAACAACAAAAACTAAAAACTTATAAATTAAAAAAATTAAAAATATGTAAATTAAAATAAAAATGTTTTGAATCTATTAAAAAATATGTAAAACATGCTACAAAATATTGAAATATAAAAAAAGTATTAATATTTAAATATGCAAAAAATGACACTAAATTTTGTATAAGAAAAATAAAAATAGAAATTATTAAAAATTTAAATAAAAAAATTATGTTTAACTTAAAATCTAGTAAAATGAAAAATGAAAAAAAATATTTTAAAAATGAAAATATAAAAAAAATGGGAAAAAATGAAAAATATACTATCGTTTGAATTTGTAATTTGAAATTCTAAAAGTAGTTACACAATTATAATTATTATTTGTTGAATATCATTTTGTGTTTCTTTTTGTTGATAACTTTAATTTTTTTGTTTTTTATTGTTTCTTCATGTTTTTGTTATTGTTGTTGATATTCAAAAATTTAAACTTATAATTTTACATATTTGTGTATGTATGTATGTATATGTATATATATATATATATATATATATATATATATATATATATATATATATATATATGCAGTTTCCCCCAATAAAGCTGCTAAGATAAATATAAACCTAAATAAATTAATTAATTAATAACAAAGAAATTAAGTAACATGATGCAACAAAAAACAACAAGATGCAACAAAGAGGAAACAAGATGCAACAAATAGCAACAAGATGCAACATGTGTATAATAACAAAGATCAACAAAAAGAAACATGTGCATAATAACAAAAAGCAACAAGATGCAACGCATAAAGTAACATGTCCACAATAACAAAAAACAACAGAATAACAGGATATAAAAGTAGTACAACAAATATGTAGTTCAATATAATTAATCTACTACAACTATTTATTATATCATTTGACTTGATTCTTCTACTTCCAGTCATGCTGCATCTTTGCACACAATTCATGAGGTTTGCTTCTCTTTACTTCATTTCCTTATCTATCTTCCCATGTTCGTGATCTTCATATACATATTTTCATCTATCATGCGCCTGTAAAGATAATGTGATCATTATGACATAAATTCATAATCACTTATTACTATAAACTAATACACATATACACCAATTTTTTAAACGAAGCATTATTTTAACATGCAACAAACAATCACTACAAAACACAGTTGTGAAGCCTAAAGTTTCTACTGATGGTAGGGATCTGATAGTAATGCGGGTACGGCAGGTAAAGGATACCACTACTTTCATTTGTTGACATAAAAACACAAATTAATGGAAATTAAAGTTCAGTAGTCATTGCACGTTGTGACAACTTGATGGCCAAAGATGTCATACAGTTGCACTACAAGTTGATGACCAACAGAAGAAAGGAAGAAGAAGAAAGCTTTCATCCTAGTCAACAGAAAATATTTGGAAATTACGGCAACAATACCAGCGATTTGGTTCGTAGAATACTCTATCTACACATAAGCCAATGAAGATGTCATATTACTCATACTTGTGACTAATATTGATGACAAACATGGTCACTTACCGACATCAAATAATAGTGTACATCAGAGTCCTTGGTTAGGACTACCTTAGTATTAGTACCTAGGACTTTCTTGTCAACCTTGTCCAATCCTAGGCCAATCTCACCCTTAATCACAGTTCCTCCAAGGCAACAAGCTTTAATGCACCCCTAACTCCCTAAGCTTATTTACCACCAAAGTTGCTAGAGCCTCTTCCTCAATATCTTCAACAAGTATCAAAATTAGATAACTATTTCTGAGTTTTGAAAATGTCTTCAACTAATCTAATTAAAATTTGCTAAAATCACACACAAAATCCACATTGACACTAATGTATAGGCAGATTGACTAAAGCAAGAAAGACAGTGCACCAAGCCAGCAAAAAAAAGAGTGAAAAAAATAAAATACCAGACAATCAGCTAGGAATTTAGAATACACTCAAAGGTTCAATTAAAGCTGAAATTTGCTAAGTAACTAGTAACCTCACCATGACCGCCATCCGTTAAACTGATATGCATCGTCATTTGCAATAATATTCTCATTGTTGCATTACTCTCGATTCTCTTTAAAATAACAACTCTCACATCACATGGTGTATGCATCACAACAAGCCTTTTTCCAAGCGATGAGCCCCCTTCGCAAACGTAGAGAAGAAAAATCCATCAAGAACAAAGGGGCTTACACAAACCCTATTGGTTTCTATCTCTAAATTCTCGTTAATCGAAAACCAGAAATTAATCTTAACTATATTAATTACAACAAAAATTAAATTGAAACTAAAATGTTGAAAATTCTCAAACACGTACCTGCGAATCAAAAACCAGCAGGTAGTCAGGCTGCGATTCAGCGATCAACAGACTAGCCGAGCAAGCAGAGGCAAGGGCAGAGCGTGGAGTCGCAGAGGGCGGAGCGTGGAGTCGTAGGGAGAGGAGCGCGGAGTGGCAAAAGGCGGAGAGTGGAGTCACAGAGGGCGGATGCGCAACCGACGGTGGGCGGGATCGGAGGTGAACAACCACGCATATCTCAATGCTTAGGTGACGATGGACGAACAAGGAAAGGGGTGCTGGAAATTGACGAACTCTGGATTTGGTTTTGATTTAAGATTTAGGCTATTTTTGAAATACAAAATCAAAAGTGAAAAAGTGAAAGTTAAAAATGAAAAATAATTTACAGGGAGACATAAATGAAATGTAATTAGAAAAGATAGATCTCACGGGAAATTTCCACAAATACACAAGATCAAACATTTATCAGACCAGTTCAGGCCAGACCAGATTAGACTTAAACAGACCAGACCAGATCAAATCGAACCAGACCTGACCAAACTAGCTGATTTTTTGTCCAAAAGAAAACATCCTTGGATATACAGAGTATTTGCTAATCTGGAAGATATTGCATAAGTAATGTTCCTTTTGTCCTTTAAAACTTTGTCAACTTTCCTTTTTAGTTATCTCATAAATTCTTCCACTTTCTTTTTTGAGTAGAGAATTTGTACTTCCAGTTAATTCTCTTTTCTTTGCACAAACATCAATCACATAATTTTTACTTTGGAAATAAATTAACACCAAAGGTAATACACCATATACATAACTTAAATGACTATATTGGAGTAAGTTTACATGGCCGAGAAAATGAGCTGCACAAGTTAGCTATTTCGTACTCCGTATGTTTTTTATTTATCTCTTTAATTTTCTATTTCTTTTTTTTAACACTCAAATATGACCTTATTATAATAATTATAAATGATTACATATATATATGATTAAAATAAAAGTTGTTTACAAAAAATATGACAATGTATTATATGTAGTAGTAATTATATTTTGAGTAGAAACTTAATCATAGTAATTTATTTTCAAGATTTACACTTAAATGGCCATGAAAATGTATTATGCGTAGTAGTAATTCTTAGTCATTTTTTTGGGAAATAAGTTTTATTTCAGTATAGTTTTTAAAAAACCCTCAACAATAAATTGTTATATTTTTGTGTATAAATTGTGGCCAATTTCTTCCTCGAGCAAGTCAAGAAATGAATGTCAGTTAAAATCTTGATGGACAAGTCAAGGAATGAAGTTGTGAATTGAAGTCAATCTATAATTTCATCTTTAATATAATTATTTATTTTAATATACGTGAACCCTTTTTATGTTAAATTGTTGACTAAATACAAATAAAATATGTCTTTATTTACGTTAATTTAACGTTATTATTACAACATACATAATACAAAGAAAATTGTTGAGAATAAAAAGTAGTCTTCCCATGAAAAGTGAGAATAAATCTTGGCCTTTGGTCACTTGAAAATGGATGGATTAGATGAAATTTAAACATAAGAGACGGTTTCAAAAAATGTGCAAATGTTTATACTATAAAGTGGATAGCTACTAACTAAAAGTGCACTCACGCGTGTCAAAAAAGATTGTCAAAATTTTCAAACTTGTACACTTTTTATTTGATATCATATTGCACTTTTGTGTTCTACGTGTGCACTTTTTGACTATTCTGATACACATTTGTCACAATATTTTCAAAAAAAATTCTCCATAATTACACAAATGTCACCGCATTTCCCACTTAAAAATTGATCTCTTCCATCCATTTTTTCACATCAACGGCCAATATTAGTTCTTATTTTTCACCTATGAAGTACTTTTTATTTGAACCAAACTCTCTCTCTATTTGAACAATAATATCCTTAATGACACTTTATTTTTTAAGGGAAAATTTAAATTAATAAAGTCTAAAAATGTCTTAATATGTCTTATGTCCAAAGCCACACAAATCTAGACAAATTTATGAATGTCTCTTCAAATCCCATAGTCTTGCAAGTCTTAAAATGCCTATAAAAGTCTCAATTGAATACACCCCCTAAGATGATTCGTTCGGTGGTGAAAGCGCATGTATGCGTAAAAGACATCCCTGTTTCATTTTTCTTGTTAATAACTTTATAAAAATCAAGGGACGTCCCAAATAATTACATCAATAACCACACATTCAAAAATGCCTTGCAGGCTTGTATTAATAATAAACTTGTATCCCGCATTCCTGCGCAGGGACATATACACTTGACACTTCCACAGTTCCACTTATGGATTGAACACACACAAGCATGCACCAATCACAAGGAAAATACAACTTGCACTTGGCAAACCCACATATACACCTAGGGGCAGGAAGATGAATAAACTTGGGAATTATCTATACAGCTATATGAAGTTGTGCACATTAATGAACGCAATCTGACAGAACTTTCCTTTGATGAATCATGCAACAACTGCATTGCGCTTTTAATAGTTAATAATTCATTGTATCTTTTTTATCTTCTTTGAAACGTCTATTATGGGTTGAGCAAAGTTGGATTCTTCCATCCTTAGCAATGTGAGAAGTTGTTCATCACAAGCTCCAGGAAGGCAATCCTCAGAAATACAATTTTCTGTTTTGAGAGCAAAGACAACTTCGTTGACATCTTCTTCCAGCTCAAGGTGGAAAATGTGATTAAATATCTGGAAACAACACAAATACATGGTTGATATTGCATATTATCCCACAAGTCCACAACCTATAACCTTTTTAACCAGAAAGTATCTTTAAATTCAGGCAAGACCGGAATAATTAGTTAGGCGGTATATCTTCCCAACAGGGCAAGGAAAAACTGGTTGTGATGGGACTAGAATACCCTCATAAAATATGCTTAATTATTCAACACGAATGAAGATGGGGACATTTTGGTATTTGTTTTATATTCCTTTGTCATCTGCATGCTACTAAACAGCATTTACATTTACCTAGCATTTACATATATCCCTTACCCAGTTCCCAATGGCTTATTGCTGGTTATATATTACACTTTCATATCAACATAATCTACTTTCAAGTTTAGTAGCCCCAATACATACCCAGAACACTAATAAATAAATCTCACCGATTTCATTCTTGAAAAGACCAAATCTTTTATGGCAGGAGACCTAGAAACCAAGTTGATTATGAAGAGGCCTTGCTCAGAGAGAGAATCTTTTACGGCTGTAAGAAATGACTCTTCAATAAAATCTGCAGCAGGGCATCTCAAACCAGAACTGCATAATCCGATGTTATAAGATTTATAGTGAGTTAGAATATTCAGAAGCCCATACCAAGGGAGTCAAAACTAGTAATATTAGGGATCATTTACCTAGAATCTGAAGAGTCCACATCGACAATAAGAATGTCAATGTGCGGAGTGTTATTGGACACTGGATAGGACACAGAAGACCCATTTGACGAAGGGCACTTGAACTCGGGCAGATTATCTATAGTAGACTTGACTGAGTGAGCTGCCTCTCTAACAAACTTTAACCCATCAGTAATATGTACCTGCAATCTCATGCAAGATATCAGAAAAAAGTTTCATGTCTCCAAACAATATTTGTCACTCCAAGATTAGAATAATGTATTCTACCAAATTATTGTGTGAATAAATCTTTCCCGGCTCCATTTTCTACATTAATCAAATTTTGCGTTGTTTCCCACCTTGTGTATGTAAATTATAATCAGTTTTTCATAGTTGGAAAAAAATATGTTGTTGGTTTCATAGTTTTAGTAAATATTTCTGTTTCTCCCTACTTTTTATTTTAGGGAAATGGATCAAGTAAAATTACCTTTAGGTTTACTTCCTCTCTAAAGTCAAAGTGGTCTCTAGCAAGATCTAGAACCACAGGATCTAACTCCACAACCTGCATTTTGTAATTAGTTTTTAATTTTTTACCCTTTAAAACAAATATACAACGGCACACTATAGCAGCATCAACTTACCTCAATCTCAAGGGAAGAAATGTGCCTGTGCAGAAACATCGGAAGCAATCCTGCTCCAAGACCAATTACAACTGTTTTTGCCTGGAAAATCGAAAATAATCAGATTCAAGTCTGAGTTTGAACAAACCTGCATTTAAAGGCAATATTTTTCTCTATGATAAAACATTTGCCAAAATCCCACAAAAAAACTCCCAATATTATACCCTTAATGAGTAATGCAGGAAAAAATTATACTGATGAAAGAACAAACAATGAAATAGGACAGAGGCACATGTTGATCCCCTAAACTCACTTGAGTAGTACGGCTTTTTAATTATTTAAAATAAAGCATTGATTTCTCTTCAGATGTATCACCTGCAAGTAACTTACATCTAATACTTTCAACAGCTGAAGAGCTGAAAAGGCAAAAGTACAAAAATACATGTTGATCTCCCAAGCTCACTTGAGCAGTATGGCTTTTTAATTATTTAAAATAAAGCATTGATTACTCTTCAGATGTATTACCTGCAAGTAACTTACATCTAACACTTTTGATAGCTGAAGAGCTGAAAAAAAGACAAGTACAAAAATGCAACATGCTACCAGCACTAGGGGACCAGTACTGCCTGGATAGACTGGAACTGAAAATAGAGATTTAGGAACGTCACAGTGACACATCATTGTAGTTAATATATATAGCTCTGGGTTATCTACTCGGTGAGTACTCGGCGAGTACTCGCAACTTGGGTACTGGCCTTGCTGAGTAGCTACCTGACTTGGTCCGTGTTTTATTTCCGAGTTACTCGCCGAGTACTCGCGACTTTCTCAACTCGGTGAAGTTTTCAACTCGGCGAGTTACTCTGTTCCTTAACAAAATGAAAATCTACGTTACAAAAACTAGGTTAAACGGAGTTCAAGACATCGGCTATCCTCCTAGAGCTGCGACTACGATCTCTCAATAAGTTCACATCTTCTTTCTCGTATAGTCCCCTCTCCCGTCCTTCACCGGTTGTTCTTTCTGCGTTCTTAATATATCACCATCTTGATTGTTTAATATTGATATGCACATATATGTTGATATAAACAAATTCTTTTTGCCAGTATGACTATATATATTATACTATGTCACTTTTAATTAATATCATGTATTAATTGTTTACTATGGCACATCATTGGTCGATACATGCTGACACACATCATCTAATTGGCAGTCATGAACTCTGCTCAGTCTACTGAGGCTTCTAATGGTGCTGAATACGCTAGTACTACAATTGAGAGAAAATCAGATACTATAGGATGAACATGGGGGAGAGAACAGAGATCCTACCAAATTATTAGATGTTGATTTTCTTGAAAACTTACAATGTTTATGATTTTTGCAAGGCCGAGTAATCACCGAGTAATCGGTCCTATTCGCTACTCGGCCCTTGACCGAGATACTACAGAGTAGTGAGTTAACTACCTGGATATGGCTTGCAACTAGGCACAAAGGGGAGCTTTTAAAAAGGCCCTAAGTGAAAAATTCTCTTACCATGCCTCCTTTAGATGAAATACTGCTCAGGTATGAAGAAACTAATGTAAGCCCAGAAATGATTCCAGTATGATACTGACTAGCCAAGTATCTATGGTCAACCTTCAATCCTGAAGCAAGGTGACAGAGCTGCAAATAATTAGAAAGAGGGGGAGAGATCTGAAAAAATGGGATAGAAATAGGGGGTGTAAAAATAGAAACAGGGGACTTATGGAAAACTTGTAATCCAGATTGAAGCACAATGAACAAAAATAAATAATGGTGTGATTAAGAGAAGCTAAAATATGAAAGGCAAGGTAGTACTACCCTCAGAATTTGTCTGACTTCCCTTCTTTCGGGATTTAGAAGTTAGGCTTTTCTTCTTATTCTTTTCAACTTTATAATTCTGGGAAACTTCACATGTTAGCACAGCCTCAGATTGCACCAAACTCTCAGTTCGTTGGAAAGTAAGGCGGCGGAATATGACATTAGCTGATGAGAAGAGATGGCTGATGTTCTCGTCAGTGTGTTCATACATAACATCATCTACAGTCATTGCACCAGTCAAAGAAGATGTGATCTACAAATGAAAATAAGCAGGAAGCAAGTCGTGAAGCTTGAGTGAAACCACCAGTCTCTATCCTAAACTTAGCATCCCACTTTATCTCAATGTTTATAGAAAGAATAAGATTAAAATGTACAAAAAGAAATTCCATTACTTTTAGTCTCATGATTATTTGGTCATGATATTTTGCCCCATTGTTTTTCTGAATGCTTATCTAGCCAACTTCTGTCCCAGATGATCATTGACAGATGAGTGACAAAAAAAGACCAACAATGGAAAGAAATGTGTCGTCGTGCACCAAAAGAAAAAAAAAACATGGACCAAAAGCGGATAACATAATGGTCGTGGGATCAAAAGTGAAAGTTTTCCAATAAAAATGTAACATAGTAGTTCAAGTACATAGATGAGATTACACATAAGTATCCCTTAAAAATGCTTACAAATTGGCTTTTCAAGTGTACAAGATTGTTTTTTTAAGGTGTACCAAAATGTAAGCATTGATTATATGGTAATTGAGATATTTGTAAAAAGCCCACTTAGGAAACTTGAACATCGAATTTGAGAGTGAAGGTATATACACCTGGCAGAAAAAATATTTTACAGGGTCAAATAAAAATAAAATATTGTAGCCAAGATAAAGGGTTTCCTGAACCTCATGGACAATATTCCTCTGCTTGATCCCATCACTTGCAGCCATAAACCTGTCAAAAACAAACAAAAAAGGAAAAAAAAAAGTGAAAAAGTGGATGGATGGATGGATGGATGGATGGACGGACAAAAATATAAATAAATAGATAAACAAGCAAGGTAAATAAATGAATAAACATTAGCAAGTCATCTGTCAGACCATGTCTCCAACAATTCATTGTAAGCCTAATGCATGTAATAGTGAACTTGTTGAACTCCATTTGTTACAATATGCAGTCAGAGATCAAGAGATGGGGCTTATAAAACTGCAATGAATGAAGATCCTTTATAGGTTTATCACTAGATGATAAACTAATTAGATAACTTAAGAGAAGAAAAGGAAAAGTATGGGTCAATTCGGTAGATGCTGATGATAAAGTTTACAAAAGGAGAAAAACATACGGAATTTGGGAAACATCAACACACTCTATTGGTGCCAATTGCTTCACCAGAGGAGACAGGTCACTCTGAAAAGCAAGATGATATATATGTTCAGTGTATGCATCTAGAGCACTATGTACCTATAAAATCCAGCACAACAAATCTAAGCATTACCTGGATATCACCCATACTGGCAGAGGTAAGGCTAAAATCTAACAAAATCTAAAGAAGCAAAGTTTAGTGTTAGAGATGTGACTCAAATAAAATATATGGACATAAATGTGATTAAAGTTACTATGTGCATAACTTCATGTCACTACGATGTAAAATTAAACATAATTAGAGTCACTAACAGTTATTAGCATAGTCACTTTGTACAAGATGACACATTTGTGTCATTCATCTTTATTTTAGTGATGTAATACTTCCGTTTCTTTTAGTTGCGACATGTTGAATTATACACTATTCACATGCTCTAGTAGCTCTACTTTGACTACATTTTAATCATTAATGTACGAAAAAGAATTTGAAAAATATTGACGAATTCATTTCATTACAAAATTTTAAAATCTGATTTTAATTTTTTTTTACTAATAGAGAATTAAATATATTGACGGTCAAAGTTGTGTGTTGGCATTTGGCAAACGTGAAAATGGGAGTGTTGCAACTACAAAACGGAGGAAGTGTATGTCATTATTTCTAAAACAAAACGGAGTGTTGCAAATAGCAAATGAATGCAATAATAATTTTTCAACAATAAATCATTAAATTACAGAAACATTACCACAATAAGACGTGCAGCCTTTGAATTTTCTACAAGAACCCATTGACCTTCTGCGGTCGAGAACAGCCACTCATGAGCTCGATCCTGAAAACTGAAAATTATTTAGAATGCTTTCCATGAAGATAAGCAATTGAAATCAGTCAAACCACATAACAAAAGAGTTCCTAGTTCAACCAGAGTATAAGAGGATGCCCAACTCGTCAACCTTTAAATGATATATTTACTTGATCTCTAATAAAAATAGTCTAAAAGCCTGCTAGGCAGCTCTTGTGCTAATGCGAGACTTTTTGCAATACTTCATTTAAATTTAATTATCACTCCACAAGATAAATATGGTAGTGAATTACTTAGGCTCAAAAACTACATGTTCCAGATTAAATAAACTATTTCCTGCAGATTTCCTAGACTCCTAGTTTTAATAATTCAGCAGAAGTGAACTCTTTCCATGAAACGCGAGAACTGCAGTTAGAATGCAGCATCTCACCCATTGAACAGTTGAATAGGATGAATCGAGATTTAGACAAAAGATATACAATGGAATAGACAAAAGGAGCTGTAGACAAGTTTTAATTCATTCTATCTTTACTCTTCTCATGTATTTGAAGTACTCTCCCTCCATCACTAAACAATGTTACTACTTTCATATTCCATCAGCCTAAAAAAAGACAGTGTTCCTTATTCGGGAAAAAAATAATGTAAATTTACTTTTACTCATGTGCTATCCTCATTTACCACTGTTTTTACTCCAACCAACATTATCAAGAGAAATTTGAAATTCTAATAATGATAAAAACTTGTGAAGTAAACAGAGGAGCTTCATTAAATGACAAAAGGAGTAGTAAATTTCAGCCCACCAAGGAGAAGCTTATTGAAATCTTATTGCTTAGTGTTTCTATATGAGTAAATAGTAATGACTATAAGGAGTAGGGTATTAGTATTATGACAAACCTTTGGAACAAGAAATACCCCACAGTGATACGAGAATGGGCCCAAGTCTTCCCGTGCATCAAGAAGAGCACCTTTGTATGCGAAGCTGGAACCCCCAGGCTCTCCTAAGGTTAGCTGAAGTCGTCTACCTGGACAGCGCTCTGTCAAGTCCCCTTGAGCTCCTAACTTCAACTCTTCAAGTGAGTGGATTATGTCAGTGCAATTCAGATATTCCTCCCGAATTCTATTTTCAATTTTGAGTGCCTTATGGAGCCCATCAGCCTGTAGTGCAAAAAAAAATTCAGATCAAGCTCGACTATGACAATATATGTATTCACAACAAGTTGGCCGGGAAAGAAATAAAAAGGGGGGAAATAGGCAGTGGTATCAGCGCTATAGCAGCGTCGCAATCTAGTGGAGCAGAGGATAGGCGCTATCAGATTGATTAAAGCTGAGTGGTTGGTTATAGCACTAGTAGTGAGCGTGATAGTGGGAAGAAACAGCATCAGTGAGCGCAAGAGCGGGAAGAACAACAGCATTAGTGTAGCGCCTAGCGGTAAGAATATCAGCATCAGAAAGCGCTATAGCGGGAAGAAAAACAACAGTAGCGGGCGCTATAGCATCACTATAAGGGGGGCTTGGGGATGATATTGGCTTTTAGATGTTTTTGGGTAAATCCATAAATTAGGTTTATAGAGTAGGGAATAATACTACAAAAAAAAGAGTAGGGAATAACACTACAAAAAAAAAGTAGGGAATAACACTACTAAACCATCCAAAATACTTATAAAGTAACTCCGCAAAAAATAACTTAAAAGAAAAAACCAAGACCAAGCATAACATACACCGTAATGGTCAGGGCATTGACCCCAGTCCCCGACAGGGGGCTGCTGCACAGGAAAAAAAACTATACAGCTCCACGTTAGGGGAGTTCAAGGCATCCCAACAAACTTGATTTAGAATAACAAGATATTGATGACTGCTAATTTATCATGAATTACATAGGGGCTTAAAGTTTAAATTAATGTCTAGGGGCAAGTAACTTTAATTATTCACTTGTTTTATGCAAGACATCAATGGCTTTTTATTGGTAACTTAGTAATTATGCATGCCGTGATGATTGACACTGAATAATATATGTCATGGCATGCACTTATGTGTACATACATAAATTATGCATTCTGCATATATATATATATATATACACACACACACACACACTAATATACTCCCTCCATCCCATTGGACTTTGACAATTTTCCCTTTTTGGTTGTCCCAAAAAACTTTGCCACTTTCCTATTAAAGCAACTAAGTTGTGGTTCTGCAATTTTCTCTCTCTTCTGCACAAATCTCAACCACACAGTTTTTACTATTCTTATTTCTCACCTACTTTGCACTTGGCAAAGTCTACCGGGACGGAGGTAGTATATAGTTTGAATAATGGCTATCCCATTATCCACTTGTTGTAGCATTTTGATTGTTGGCCGCTGAGCTCGTTGTTTCAGGATTGACAACACTGGGAAAGGGGGGGATTTTGATTTTTAGAGCCGTGTCAAAAAAATGTGATTGAATTAAGCAATCATGGATTTAAGCAATGTGTGGATTTGTCTGGCACCAATTGTGTATAGTAAAATACTTAAACTGTGAGACAATGTCAGAGAGAAGTAGTTTTACCTGCTCTCCAAGTGAACATACGGATGAATGATCAAATGGGGATAATATCTGTGACAACACACAAGAATTGTCTTTTTTAGCCATGACCATATAGGTCTGCAGGCTGAACTCTTTGGATGGTGTTAGAGGAATAGCATGAACACTCATCTTCCACCCATGGCGAAACTTGTGAAAAAGCACATCTACCAAAATATAATTGGAAAAGATAAAATTACACCACAATTATGCTACAGCACAAGTAAATGAGAGGAAAAGGAAGACATTGCATTCTGTGTAAGTACCTAATACATGAACTTCCGCCAAAGTGAGACAAAAAAACTTCCCTCCAGTTTTTAGCACTCTCTTCACCTTTTGAATCCCGGTATACAAATGATAGATTTGTAAATTATCAGATAAACTTTACCCATGGGTATCCATAATCACAAACCATCTAAAGTTCTGAGTCCATAATACTAGAAGTCTAGAATACCTCAGATATATACTGATTTCCAAACTTAGGACCAAGCTTTGGCTCCATTAAAGCATCCAAGCCTCCCTTATCCACGATAACATCAAAGCTCTCGTTCTCTAACTGAGAAGTAACAACAGTTAGAGCAGAGGAGCACTTAGACCTATAACGAATGTCGAATGAAACTTTGACCGATATTACCTGCATAGCAGTCATATCCATCACACGCCACTTCATTTCTGGTCGTGCTCGGACATTTCTCCTCAACATATCAGATATAACGACCTTGGAGAAGTCAATATTGGTGATATTCCGGCGACCAGAGTCGTATAGGTGTTCGGAAAGCTTGGAGTTTCCGCAACCAGGGACAAGAATATGCGAGTCTTCAGATATCTGGGCGATGAGATGGTCTTGAAGCTGAGGCCACTCAGAGTACCACTCAAATGCATCATCGCTACCTCTGATAGTGAAGAAGTTGTCCCAATTCTCTTTGGACGTGAAATCTCCCAATGTTTGGAGCAGTTCTCTTTGCTTGTGCTTTTGCACTCTCTTCCCCATTTTTTCTCAGTCCCGCCAGGCCTCGGAGGAACAGAACTTTTTTCTCTTTTTTTAAGACTAGGGTTTTGAATGGCATCCAAGCCAGGGTTGTGGATTTTTAAGTCTCACTATAATTAAGGAGTAATTATTCTTTCTGTTCCCTAACTTTGTCTTGTTTTATCTTTTTCATTCGTTCATATTGTGGATATCTTCTTTTGGACTATTTTCAGTCTCAAACCAGATCAGATCAGACCAGACTTGATTTCCATAACTATAAAAATACACAGAGACCAGACGTTTACCAGATCAGACCAGACCAGCAAATTTCAGTCCAAAAGAAAACATCCTAAACTTGTCTCAATCATATTTGGTAACATTCGGATGGTTACACTTCATTCTTACTTTATTCACACTTTATCAATTCAATAACAACCACACAATTACATTTTTTCCTTAAAAGTTTTGTCGAACCTTGGTGGATGGTGTACCCGGGGGTAGCTTATCCGGAGGGTTATTGCGGGGAATAACTAGAGAGAAGTCAGAGCAAACAAGTAAGAGAAAGAGAGCCAAGTATATTAAATGAACTTGTTCTGCGTTCCTTTGCAAGAGGAATAAGAGCTACTGTTTATAGCAGCCATAAATGCGATGAGAGTACACGTGTCAGCAATTTGACGACCGAGGGGTCATCTCAATTGGGGTGGCACCGACACTCGCATGTGCACCGCATTGAATCCGGTGGGTGGATGTGACACTGCATTAAATGCGATAGTTGCTTGTCCCCAAAGGGAATCTTCGATGATTGAGTTGTTAGGCGAAGGCTCTCCCTGCGGCCGAGGGCTCTATGTAGCCGAAAGCTGCCCTCATGATGAGGGCTCCTATGAGCCGAAGGCTCCCGATTTTCACTGTCCCCCCAGTAGCTTTGTATGTAGAAGATCAGCGGTTTCTTGGAGTTTGGAGCCTTCGGCCATACAGCCGAAAGCATCCCAAGCGCATCGCGGGTTACTTCGGGCTTGGGCCGCGGTGCTCTGAGCCTCGTGCGTTTCTTGGGCCTGTTAGGCCGATGTGGAAGAAGTAGGAGTCTGTGGACCGGGTGTCCCTGGGCCATGTACTCCATCAAACCTCTGTCCCAAACGTAGTGGGACGGGGGTAGTGCATGCCAAAATTGATAAAGTTTGTGTGGTTCTAAATCATTCTTTCTTTTATCAATTTATAAGAGCATCTTCAATGCTAATTAATACACGTGTAGCATGAGAGAGATAATTTGTTTGTTAATATCTATGTGGTTATCTTTCATGCTACATGTGCACCGTGCACATTGTAGGCTTTGTAGCATTGAAATGTTCTAATATAAATCATATAAATTCACTTTTCTTCATAAGCGTGTCACCTCTTCTTATCTCAATGTTAATGGGATGGTGGTGGTATAAATTAATTTTGACAATTTTGAAAGGTATAGACAAATATCCTTGTGCTGGAGGATTGATAAGATTCGTCGTCCCACCAACTTCATTTGAGTGATCTCAATAGATTTTTTTAAAGAAATTTTATGGGCATTTATTTGTTAAGTCTAGACTATGTCCACAAAATTTTAACTTCAAATTCGATCGAAAAGTTAGCTAAATGATAAATTGTTGGAAAACACTGCATTTCATACATTTAGGGCATTGTTTTTTAATAATTTATTTAATTGGTGTCCCAGTTGAAAAAACATACATATAAAACGCAATTATTTTCAAAAAAAATATTTGACTATCTTCCCGAAATTTTAACTGAAATTTAGGAGGTATCTACTAGACTTGATGAAGATCGTGCTCAAAAAAATCATCATAAAAAATTATTAATGACCACCTGATGAGGCGGCGACCGGACGGAGGCTCTAGTCTGGAATCCCGAACCAAAGCTAATCTGACGAAACTACCCTTTATGATATCTAGTAGTACATACGCATCGTAGATCCATCGATCAAACCACTGCACTCATCTTCCTACACTGGTGCAACATCAATACATCCTTCAATAAACCATTGCAATTGTTGCCCTTCGCTCACAACGCCACCCTTCGATCAATCCACCACCGCCACCCACCCACGAGCTGATACAATCACTCTTTGACTAATTCCTTTACTCTCTTTAGTGAAATTGTCATCTCGTGTTAGGAGTGACACAATGATAGCATTTTCTTGTAAAAATCACGTCATTTTCAAAAATAGGTTGAGATTTCTTGCATTAGAATTGTGTCATTTTTGTAAGAATTATGATAGTATTAAAAAAAGAACGGTTGAAATTTTGGCATATGAGTGACATTGTTTTAAAACTTACATTGTTTTAGTAGCATAAAATTGACATTGTTTTATTCAAACCCGGCATCTTAATAAGTTTAAACTTTGAAAAATAATGTCATAAGGGTGATATTTTTCTAATAACTTGACATTCTCATTTTTTAAAGGAAAAATTGATAAGAATAATCTCACCTTTCACTGGTCTTCTCGTAATAATCTCACCTTTACGTGATCCCAGAATAATCCCACATTTGCACCTCATCTTCTTTTATTGGACCCTTTCTTTGAAAATCTTATATAAATAATCTCACCTTTGTCGGTCATCAATAGGCCAGGGTCCAATGAAAGAAGATGAGGTGCAAATGTGGGGTTATTCTGGAATTAAGTAAAGGTGAAATTATTATGAGAAGATCAGTGAAAGGTGAGATTATCCTGGTCAATTTTCCTCCTTTTAAATGACATTATTGTAAAAAAAAAGTAGTTATGCAAACTCAAATATGCCAAATTGATAAATAAATAAAGTTTCAAACTCAAATATTTCCTGTCAATTGGCGTTCAAAGAATTATTTAGAATAATTCAAACAATTATTTAGAAATTGAAAAGGTAGTAGATAAAGAGATGAACACAAAAACATAGTACATGAGGGGGTAGGGAGGAGGGTGAGAATACTATATGATGAGTTATGTCAGAGAAATTGTTGCATAGGTGGCGGCCGATGGAGAGCAGGCGATTGTGATGATGGTCATCGAGTTGCGATCGATTTCGGTCAAGCTGTGTCTGTGGCAACTAAGTCGGGGGGGGGGGGGGGGGGGGGGTATTCATAAGTTTAGCGATCGATGTCACACGGATTGAGGGAAAGTGAATTTGAGATTAAGAGTAAAAATGTGATGTGGAGTCCAATTCAGATTTTATTTTTTGAAAGGGGAAAAATGCTTATATTAATATCATTAGGATTTACTCCATCCGTCCCGCTATGATTGTCTCATTTTACCATTTCGGTCCGTCCCACTAAGATTGCCCCATACCTTATTTGGTAAAGTTTGTGTGGTTCTAAATCATTCCTACTTTATTCTTACTTTATCAATTCAATATCAACCACATAAACCACTTTTATTAATAACCGTGTCACCTTCTCTTGTCCCAAACTTAGCCGGGACGAAGGTAGTAAATCATTACAACAAACTCAAAGAGACCAACATTAACAAAAAAATTGAGCAACATAAACGAATATAACGTGAAATTAACAACAACAACCAAACCTTGATCCCAATAGATTTTGGGGTCGGCTAACATGAATTCATCAATGATATCAATGCCAAAAAGAGAAGACAGAAAAGAAGAGGAACAAAACTAAGACAAACCGGACAAGATAATGATAAATAAATACTCTTTCCGTCCCAACATTAACTTCTGATTCACTATTCACAGGAACAACTTAAATTTCTCTTAATCTTTTGTTTTATATATCAAAATTTTATCAAATTTCCATTTTTATCATTTTTGTAATTTTTTTTAATGTAGTTTGTGAATTTGTAAATATTATTTACAAAAAAATAATTCGAGCGTGAAATTGCTTTATCGCCAGCCAAGCACCATCGTCTGAAATGGAAATTCCTTATGGGACGGAGGTAGTATAAGATAACGATAACATGAGAATAAAATAAAGATAAAAGATAAAAACATAAAAGATAAAAAAGCTAGAAGATAAAAATAACATAAGAAATTAAAAAGATAAAGAAGATATATGATGAAATAAACAGAAAGATGAAAGATAGAAAAGAGATCAATTGTCCACACATATGTGCATCCTCCACGTTGCTCCCTCCAAAGCCATACTCTTATTCAACCCAAGAATACGCATATCAGTTCTGATCCTCTAATCCAAACCTGTTTAGGCCTTCCCCTCTGTCTCTTCTCCCCACTTCTCAAATCGTCTAATAGGTGCATCGTCTGGTCTTCTACGCACATGCTAAAGCCATCGCAAACGAGACTCTTGTATTTTTTTTTCATGTGTGCTACTCTCACCTTTTGACTGAAAAAAAAGAAGACAGTAAAAAGTAAAATGATTGATGAATACTCCAAACTCTTTGTTGTCAGTTTTCTTGAAATTTTATCTTCCAAACTCTAATTTATTGATCTTCACCCAATCACCGCCCTCCACTCTTGTTGATCCTCCAAAAACCAACCTATCGGCCTCCTCCTCACTTGATGGAAAGGGACAACATTGCTCTAAATCACTCATTCAAGTCACGAATATCCTTTCTCGATCAAAATGTAAAATAAAAACTGGTCCGTAGATCAGAAGTGCAATATTGCACTGCTCTCGTCACGCGAGAGAAAACCTGGTTCTCGACAAGCAAAAGAAAAACTAGACTTGCTGCCTCACAGGGGAGTCACAGCCCCAGGACGACAGCAACACTGCATCGAGCAACAACCTTCTCACAGCAAAAGCTATGTAGGTTAAACCCTAAAGATAGACTTCGTTTTCTATTTGGGAAATTTAAAACTTTTCCTATTTTGGGATTTTAATCATGTTTTAGTTCCATACATGACAATAACTTTTTGTCCTATTTCAAACATTTCTAATTAAAAGTACTTTATATCGCATTTTAAGCACATTAATTTTTGGTAAAAATATTCCAAATACCCTAAACGTTGAATGAGTCTGAAGTAAATACCCCGAACTAACATATGTAATTTAAATACCCTAAATTTTACATATTTTTTAGCACCATTATTGTATATTTTTTCATTCAAAAATGTAAACTCATGGTGTCGTAATTTAAAATATCTTAGTATTAGTGAAGATATAATTAAAATTGTAAACTTCCATTGTGAATAAATAATATTACGTATCCTCAGTCTACAATTCTATACCATTGCAATGTTTAGTAATTGAAATAAAAATGTTTTAAATTATGCAATTAATATTTAATAACATAGATTTACATATTTGAAAAAGCAACATATAATCATGGTGCAATAAACTTTTTTAGGTAAAGTTTGAGATATATTAAAATCTTATCTTAGTCGATGAGAGTTAGGACATTAATGGTTGGTTTGCAGCTGTTTTTAAAAAAGCACTTCTCAGTTTTTGACTTTAAAAACACTTATTTTCCCAAACACTACAACTTTTATTTTTCTCGGCTTCCGCGCCAAAAGTGTTTTTACTTTTTTCTATTACACAAAAAACACTTATTTTACCAAACACTATTCACTTTTACTTTTCAAAATCACTTTTTTGTGAAACACCATCAAACTTTTATTTAATCGCTTCTCCTCTCAAACACCATCAAAACTTTTGTGATGTTTGTGTACTCCCTCCCCCTTCTCTTTCCGTCTGCAGTCCCCGTCTCCCTTTCTTAATCTCTAATTCTCTACCCGTCCATCGTCAGCCTTCAATATACACCCAACAGACACACCCAACACCCTTGAATATTTGCTTCCAACCTTGCTATCGCCCTAACCTCACCCGGTAGTTCCCATTGTTTACGTGTTGTGGCGCTAACCATCAGTTAGTTATAGATGGTGGAGAGGTTCATACTTCAGGCCTTATGCCTCAGGTAGCTATACATATGTTTTAAGAATTTTTTGGGAAAATCTGCGCGCTTCCTCACAGTCTATGCACTGTAAGCATCTCTTCTCCCATTCCCTTTCCCCTTTCATTGTTGCTTTCCAGTTAATCTCTCAATCTCTTTTTCTCTTCTCAGGATATATGTCCTGTTATATCTTGTAATGTCACTTTAGTCTTGAGTTAAACAGTCTGAATTAAGTAAAACGTGAAAAACATACACAGATAAATGCAATGGTATGACGTATGAAGAGTCAAGTTATTTGGTCAGTAGTACAGTTATGTGAGTCTGTGTTTTTAAACACTTCCCAAAATTTGTTTTGGCTTAGGAGCATCTAATTTAATGGCTTGTGTTTCAAATTCTCATAACTCTTTCTGGTATGAGCTCTTTCTGGTGCAAAGTCCTTTTAATCTAATATAACAGTATGAACTGAAGGCATGATCCTTAAGTAACTCTTTCTGGTGCAAAGTCTCATAAACAAGTTTGGTGTTTGTCTTAGAATATTAGGGGGGAGGGATCACAATAAGTCTGTGCAATGATGTCTCTATATTATACAATGATGTATATAATGGAACAAACTCACAATGGCTAGGTTTTGGGTTATGATATTTAACATTCCCCTCAAGTTGGATCACATAATTCATATGCACTTAGCTGTATACAAGAGCACCCAATTATAGGACTGTAGGAATTCATACTAGCAAAGTATTGGAGATAATTAATTTCCTATGATTGTGAGATTTCTTATATGTGCATCTTCTGCATTTTTTGAGCTGCATAATGGGGTTTTCACACAGTAGTAGCTCTCATAGATGCTTATGTACTTGACTGTTTAGAGTTCACAGACTATTTCTATATGTAATGGGTGTTGGCCGGTTATAAAACAAAATTAACATTTTCAAGATTACCTTCTACATAAAAAGGTACCTACCTTAAGGGCTGGGTCCGGAAAATCGAAAACCGAAAACCGAATCAAATTAAACCGAACCGCGACCAAATAAAACCGAACCGCTAAAAACCGAAACCGAATGTAAAAAACCGAACCGAACCGTAGTTGTTTGGTTCGGTTTTGGTTTTTACCCTTCAAAACCGAACCGAACCGAACAAACCGAACAAACCGAACTAATTAAAATATGAAATTTTATTTGTTAATTTTTAATCATTAATCCTAATATCATCAATAGTCTTTGATTTTTTGTGCTATAGAAATAATGTTTATGTTTAGTTTAGTTGATAAATGCATTTACTCATTCATTTGCCCATAATAATGTAGCTATATTGATCGATTATGTCTTTTATGTATGTATGCATGTTGCAATTTGTTGCATGATTATTGTTTTTAGAGGTTATTAGTAGTAATTAAATTATATTTTTATGTAACTTACATTTTTTACATTGATAAATCAAATAAATATTCATCTCAGCTATATCACATATGATATATGTATTCATGAACTTTTTTCAATTTAGTCACAAACAATGTAAATTAAGAATATATACACTTATATCTCTCCTGCATACTCATATAATTCAAGACATGTTTTTTTTATTCTTATTTTTACTTCATTTATTCTAGTATGCTTGTGTTTTTTATGTAATATGTTTGATCCCTCCAACTATTATATCAATTTTAAATCAAATGACAAATTTTTGGTAAAAAACCGAAAGAACCGAAACCGAACCGAAGCAAATCGAACCAATCAAACCGTGGTTCCGAGTTTTGGAGTGTAAAACCGAACCGAAACCGAACCGAACTTTAACTTTGGTTCCGTATTTGGTTTTAGGTAAAAACCGAACCGAAAGAACCGAACCCACCCCTTGGCTACCTATATGTCCATAGAAGCTTGTAAAATAAAAATTCTTTCCATCAACAATAGCAATGAAGCGAGCAACACGAGAGTTTTAGAACAAAACTGAAGTGTTCAGTATGAAATATACCTAACCATTTGACCTGATCTTACAATCATAGGAAATTATTTATCTTCTAAACTTTGCTAGGCTGCTTATGCGCTTGGGATTCAATTTGCACTGAACTATCATCATCACCACCATTATCCTAGTGCCGCAAAAGCTCCCACCTACGGCGGGGTAAGGGGGGTTGGATGTACGCAGTCTTATGTACTAAAGCATAGAGAGACTGTTTCCGAATGACCCATAGTGATAAACGCGTCGAAAATTGCATAGACTGACTGTTACTTCATAACAAAGAAGCGCAGACAGTTTAGTGAGCCATTTTGCTTTATTCCATCATATCCCCAAGCCAAAGAGTAGTGAGTCTTTGGCTCCATTGAAAATGATGGAAAGAATTTGCACTAAACTATATATGAGTATATTCTTTATACAAAAGTGGTTTTCTTTTTTACTTCCTTTAATGTGATTTAGTCACTAGAGATCGGGATCATATTTCTTGCTTTTTCTATATATGTATCTTTATATATTTATACTGCAATATACTCATTTTTATTATCATCTACATGGTATCAATGCTAGATTTCTATACCCGGTCCCTAAATACTCTTTTTCCATATAAGTATATAACCTTATGCACCATGGCTGACCATATCAGAGTTCATCATCACATGCTGTCATAACACTATATTTTGAATGTTTCCATCTCACCTTGTATTACTTGAGCAGTTGAGCCAAATCTACTCCCAAGCCACATTTGAGACTGCTCAGTTCACATACTCACATGTAAGAGCGGTACTGTCTCAATCATCAATTCAGCATCCCAGAATATATGTCAATAACTACTTCCAATGGTTTGATGCGCTAATGAACTAAACTATGCTAACTATCCAAGATTGCAAAAATCTCTAGGCAGTAGTAGGGCTGACTTGGGGGTTGACCGTCACCCAGTAGAGCCTGTAGCCTGCCTGACCACCGAGTCAATAAATCCTAGGTTTTACAAATTGTTAAAATTCTCCCGCATAACTCTCTGTCTAGCCCTCCCAGTCGCCTGTCACCCCCCTCCCCGAAACACCCCATATGTTATCCTCCAATCTTGCGTAACCTTCCTAGGAAGCTTACTACCCATTTTTCGCCGATTTGGAAAAACCACACAGGTTCACCGCCACCTTGGCTGATTTTTGTTGTGACTATCTCAGAGATGGAGTTCTTTTAATGAAAACTAAAGCAAATACATTACATATTTTATATTTCCACTGGCGCAATATTGAATAGTTTAATTTAATTTTATGTTCTCTTTTGATGTAAGCACAAAATACTACCTTAGAGTATCTAACTCAATTAACATCATTTTTTAAAGGATGCCAACTTCGTGTTTTTTCTTATATCTTGGTACCCTAAACAAATTTTGACAACCCAACATAAGCGCTTAAATACATCTTAGCTTCTCTTGTATTTTAGTCTACGAAAACAAACTTCTCACCTTGAAAAATTGTCAATGAGTGGGTTCATTTTAAACAATCACACTTCTATCTTGACTAGCATGTTCATTACCGTCGTAAATTGCGCACTATCCCCTCACGCATTACTATAACTGGTTTAAAATACACATGTAAGTTTGGAGCGTTAACTTCGTAATCTTTTCAAAATTTGAGGGTGTTTGAATTATATGTACTCTCTAGTTAATATTTCTAATTTTTCTTCTCTCCAGTCCTCGTGTCCCCTGAATCATCTGTTCGTCGATCCTCCTACTCCTAATCCTATAGCTCTCTCTGCTCGCTTCGTATCTCTGTTCGGTCGCAGACTTGCAGAGTTGCAGGCATCTCTCCCCAGTCTCGATTTACAGAATCCTTGGCTCCATCTTGACACCAGTGGGGAACTGCCTCCAGCAGTCTAGCTCTCCACGGCTCCAGGCCTGCACGGCAGCCCCCCTGGTTAGTGTTAGCCTCTTCATTCCGAAATTAGAACCAAAATTTTGTATACCTAATCTGAAATTTGCAGACATTTCCCAAATCCTAATTCACATTGCTGCCTAATGGCTAATATGTCTTACTATTTTAGACTTTTAGTATTGTACCTTAAGTGTATACAATACTAAAAGTACTTATTTGCAGTAGGATTTTAATGAATACTACTTGCAATAGGATTTTAATGTTTCCACTCTCAACTATTGGATAATATGCAGTAGGATTTTATTGAATACTATTGGCAGTAGGAATGTAGGATAATATATAATGGGGGGCAGTAGGATTTTTTGCTTTAATTATTTGTTGGTGTGATAATAATATACTTTTTTGCGTAATGAATAAGAATGATTTGTTGCAGAGTGTGAATTAGGATTTGGGAAATGTCTGCAAGTTATAGTTAGGACAACTTTAATTTGAGTTAATAGGAATGATTTGTTGCGGAAAATTCTACCCCATTTATGAAATTATTAATCCATATGAGCACTGTTTATTTAAATAGGTCTGGAAAATCTAATGGAAAATCCAAATGAAGGAGAGTTATTAATGGAAAATTCAAATCAACAGGTTCAGAGAATTGTTAGTCCAATTCAATGGAAAATCTAATGGATTTTTTTAATGAATATGATTATAGAATTGATACATTTTTTTTCAAAGATACAGTTGTAGAATTATTGCAATTTATCTTAATTTTAATTTAAATTTGGAAACCTAAAACACAAGGTTTAGATCAGCCATTGGCTACACCGCCTACTGTGCCTGCCAAACTGCGTGTGGGTGCACTGGTGTAATACTGTAATGTACAAATGAAATTCAAGCAACCTTTTCTTGGCCCCATTCCAATTGAAATGCTAGATCCGCCCCTGGACATACTATCGTCGTATCAAATAGAAGTGATGAAAAATGACATCAATAATAAGGATGTGTTTTTTGTATTTGACAAGTGTGAACAATTTTTCCCGTAGAGAACAAGTGTAATTTTGTCATTTGTTTTTTGTATTTGACTTTGGTGAACACTTTTATTCTGGTAAAACATTTGTAATATTTAATTTTTTGTTTAACTTCTTTGTTACAATTGAAATTATTTTATATATATTCAAACTAGGCCCCCACTGGATTGAAAGCTAGATCCGCCTCTGCTACCTGCTGGAGTGAGTGTGGCTCCCAATCTACGGTTATGGTTTGAGTTTCAGTTTAACATGAGCAGAAGCAAAAGTGGTGTCCCAATCTCTAAGCTCTAGCACAATTCTTCATTCTGATTTCCGTTGATGCTCTATTTTGGATTAAACAATCTTTCATACTTGAAATGTTATGGAGTTCTAGACACCTATTCAAACTATCACGCATATCAACAAAATGTGGGTTTCTCCCATCAACTAACGATCTTCTGATCAACACTCATCAAATTTCTTTCTCTACTATTCCTGGGAGCTACAAAGGTATCCTCACCCCGCAAGTCGTACAATCAACTATATTGAATTGCCATTCTGATCTAATTGCTCTTTCCTTCTTTATTTGGTGTGCTAAGCAACCTAATTACTTCCATGACAAGGCAACTTGTGTTTACATGGTTAATGTAGTCTCTCGCCTCACTCAGAGGTTTGTAACCATAAAAGGTGTTTTAGATGAATTGGAGAATGCTGGTACTCTGATAAAGCCACAAGTTTTATTACTTTTATTGAGAATATACTGGCTTGGAAGAATGCACAATATGGTCATTGAGGCTTTTGGAGAGATTCTCAGGTATGGTTACACGCCAAACACATTTTCTAGGAACATATTGATGGATGTATTGTTCAAGATTGGTTGCGCAAGTGTTGCACTTCAAGTTTTGAAGGAGACAAAGTCACCCAATTTCCTAACCTTCAGCATTTCCATCGGCAATCTGTGTAAACTCAAAGATATGGTTAATCTCCAATCTGTACTTAGGACCATGCTGAGGAATGGATATTATCTTAACCCCGAGACATTTTCGTCTGTTTTGAGCTGTTATTGCAAATCAGGCCAGTTATCAAAGGCTACCCAATTATTAGGTTTTATGATTGCCTTGGGTGTTCCTACATGCGTCATTGTTTGGAGTATAGTGATAAATGGATATTCTAAATCTGGCAAACTCGATTTTGCCAGTCATTTGCTAAATAAGATGGTGTCTAGTGGATGCATGCCAAACATGGTCACATGCACATCTTTGGTAAAGGGATATTTGGAATTTCACATGCCTAGCAAAGCTTTTGAGATTCTAGACACCATGAAATCCATCGGGTGTTGTCCTGATTTGATTATGTGCAATGTGCTTATACATGGCCTCTCAAAAATAGGGAATTATGATGAAGCTATTGATGTTTTCTGTAGTTTAGGGGAAAGAGGATTGACCCCTGATTCTTACACACTCTCCTCTATCGTGTCAACAGTTTGTTTATGCAAGGAATTCACCCTCTTGCCTGTACTCATCAATGGATTGGATATACATGCCGATTTAGTTGTTTGTAACTCCTTTCTAAGCTTTTTTTGCAAAGCCGGTTATCCTAAAGGTGCTGTTGAGTTTTATAATGACATGATATATAGAGGTTTCCAACCAGACAATTACACATTTGCAGGATTATTGAGTGGGTTATGCAGGTTAGGCAAGACATCTCAGGCTGTTGATGTGTATCAGGGTATTGTCAAGAATCAAGATGGGCTAGATGCTCATATTCACACTGTGATCATTAATGAACTTATAAAATCTGGTGAATTTCACCAAGCCATCAGATTATTCAGAAAAGCCGCAGAAGAGAAACTCCATATGGATGTTGTTACATATACTGTTGCTATCGATGGCCTGGTCAAAGGTGGTCTTGTTGAAGATGCATATGATGTGTTTAGCATGATGAAAGAAATTGGATTGGCCCCAAATATATACACTTACAGTTTTATGTTATCTGGATTGTGTGAGAATGTAGATGTCATTACTATAAAAAGGATACTTGTTGAGATGGTTGATGGAGGCATTGAGCTTAACCATATTACTTTCAGGCTAATGAAGAACATTCTGCGCAAAAGACGACATTCAAGTTTAGTACTTAATCTATTCATGGAGTTGTGTGATAAAGCTGTTCATGATTTAAATGTCAAGGATGTCTTCTCAGATAATAACCACCATTTACTTGTTCTTGACACGGACACATCCAGCTCTGAAGACATTCTTGATGTAGCTGCTTCAGTAGGATGAGCACGGAGTCCCACAAACAGAAATCGTAATGAGTATGTAGTCTTTTGGGGGTTAGAAATCAGCAGACAGCCCCATCTCCAGCATGAAGCTCCAATTGCTTCCCCATTTTCTTATTTTAAATCCTGATTGAAATGGGAAGCACTTTAGTTCAGAACATATAATCCATCCTTTCCAAAAGAAGACTCTTATTGGCATGTTGCATCAATGTAGAACTATTTAATTGTGGTAAGGTACAACTCTTTTAAATCATTTGTCCTAATGTTTTTATTTTTTTATGGTAAACTAAATTCGGCATGCTAACTCTTTTGGAACATTTTTTACTTCAATGAAGAAAAGTTTATTTTTGTCGAAACATGACTCTTTTTTAAGATATGTTAGGAAGATTGTAGAAGTTCTATAACTGTAATAAGCCTAGTCTTTATACCAAATGTACTGTTAGGTTGTTACAGTTAGTTGAAATCTGTTGATCAGTTAGTTAGACTCTTGTTCTATAAATACTTGTACTGTTTCCCTAAATCATTAAGAATTGGGAAAGTTCCTGAAATAGGACTAAAACCGTTTGAAAATTCCAAAATAGGACTGTCATGTTTTTTATTCCCAAAATAGGAGTAATTACTGTCAAGTTTGGAAAATTCTGCCATGTTTGAAGTCTGGTACTGCCATAACATGGCAGTAATTAGTCCTATTTTGGGAATAAAAACACGGCAGTTCTATTTTGGAATTTTCAAACCTTTTTAGTCCTATTTCGGGTAATATTCTCATAAGAATTCTGTTCTCATTTTCTAATAGGATATGAAATTATGAATAGGTTTTGAAAAGGACATCTTTTATGCGACAAAGGTTGCATTTGTTTTGAATTGTTAAATTTCCTACACCTAAAGCCTTTCGACTATCAAATGAAAGATTGAAAGAATATAAAATGGAAATAGACAAGCCACAATCAAGCATCTGTCAAGAACATAAAATGGAAATAAACAATAAACAATTACGCATCATTTACTGTTCATGATTTTTTGTGGATTATAAGTGAAACAAAATAGCTCATGTGTTCACTTTGCTATTTCTCTACATTCATATTTTGGTTACCAACTCCGATTGGGAGAAAACGTTTTTCTTGGAGACTTTCTTTAATATTTTTAACATCTCAAGAGTGTTCCAACTTTTTTCGTTTTCTAATGTGATTGCAATGTGTGTATTATCACTATATTCAGCCTCTAAAAATTATTCATAGTATGATTTCAGTTTGTCGCATACAAATCATTATCTGCATTTTTTCTATTTTCCCTTATTTACCACTTATTATTATTATTGTTATTATTATTATTATTATTATTATTATTATTATTATTATTATTATTATTATTATTATTATTTATAGTAACTTCTAACTGTTCACTGCAGGGTGTGTCTCAAGCAATTCAGAGCTGGGGATATGGCGGTTCGGAACATTCTGGACCAGATAAGACTAAACTCCACTAGCATCCAAAACCATATTGACTTGCGCTGCCAAGGTTCGTTGTGTGTATATCTCAGGTTCTTGATGGATCCATATGGAACCAAAAATTATGATTTCTTTCTTTTAATTAAAAGCTGTGTTCCCTTATTTTAGATATCTGCATACACTAACAATTTTATTGCTTTAAATTTGAGTATTTGTTGCTTTAATTTGAAATTTGAACACTTATCTTCTCTGCTGCTGTTTATCCCTTCCACTTATTTACAATATTAACCCAACATATAAGTATCTTTATATGTTGTATTTAAGATTTAGCATTTTGTAGGTTCGTATTACACTATTACTAAAATTTGAATTTTATGTTATTTTTATCTTTATATTTTCTTCCACCTGTGTATTTGAATTACTGTTTTCTTGGTCTCCTAATATTTTTTTCTTTTATGATAGAGGGAGAATTGGTGCTACGCATATTGAATTTTTAGAATTACCAAAGAATGTCTGAAACCATAATATTTGAATTTTGAAATTGAATTGTTTTTTATCATTATACTTTAATAAAATAAAGAACCAATCCTTTTGGCAAGGCAGCCAGTATGTTGCCATGGAAGTTGTTTTCTTGCAGCCATATTTGGTTTTGCAATGATTTTGATTGAAGATATGTAGTATGAGCCTCATGTATCTGTGTGCGTGTATCCATACATGTCCATTGTATATCTGTGTGTACAAATTTTCCCAATGGCATGCCCATTGCCCTTATCTATTTGAAGTGACTTTTAACTTTGAAACTCGTATTAAACATTGAGGTTGATATATTTTCTAAATATAAAATGATAGAAACTCACACAAAGTAGAAAGTAGTAATTTATTTATGAAGTTTTCAGAACTTTAACGGGATTACAATGGCGTAGACAGAAATAAGATAAGAAATAGATCGAGACATTTCGAGTAGTCTCAGCACTCCCAGGTCCAGACTAAGTTCTGCATGCCTTCCTTCTTTCCTTCCTCCCATTCTTATACTAATTCTATTCTAAAGGGTCGGCCCAAACCCATGACTTACATGACCCATAACCCCTTATTTTTAACTACCAGTATTATTTAATATCAATCTATTACTACTATCATTATTCTCAAACAGTCCAAGGCCCTATCATAAAAACATCATGGAATAATGGAATTAAGATTACTGCTGCTCAGTGATAAAAATGTGCTTTGGTTTGTTGCTTTTTCTTTACTGTGAGTCTGTGACTGAATTTTCTTGCAAAAATATTACTCCATCCATCTCACTAAGATTGTCCCTTATTACCTTTTCGGGAAATCCCATAAAGATCGTCTCATAGTCTCATACCAAATTTGGTAAAGTTTGTGTGGCTTTAAATCATTCTTACTTTATTCTTACTCTATCAATTCAATATCAATCACATAAACCCACTTTTCTTAATAAGTGTGTGAGTGTGTCACCTCCTTTTCTCCCAATGTTAGTGGGATGGAGGTAGTAGTTTTTATAAACTATTTAAATCTTGTGGCAGGATATGGATAAGGGTTGAGGTGACTTGCTTTCTTATTTGTGATTACCTTTTGTTTGGAATAGAGTGATAATTTTGATAATTTAAATATTCTCACAATTAGCAGGAAATTTTCTGTGGAATTTGGTAAAAGGGAGCGCTAGCACTGACCACCTAAAAATTCAACTCTTCCATAAAAAGCTGATTTTGCACAAAGCCAACTAACCCTTTAATGTTTGGTGTTTCCAGTAGGTATCCATGTAAGGGTGAGAAATGGACAAGAAATAAGTATTTCTAAGAACACAACAAGAGCGGCCGCCCATGGAGGCATAAAGGGACCTTAGCAGTCGACTATCCACGTACCTGGTTACTCTTGACCAGATGGTGGAGCACAGTTGAAACAAATCATAGCTGAAGGAGAATCGAGCAACAAGTAGTTGGAGTCTCAGTTGGAGTAACTAGTCATTAGTGGGGTGAGAATGGTTGTGTTTTATTAATCGATACGATAGTATATTTTTTTAGAAGCCATTGAATTATGAAAATATGTATTACGTATATACTTTTAAGTGTTTAGCTAGTTTTCCATATGAGAATGTTAAAAAATCATGCCATCCGTCTCTTCATGGCTTCACTTATGGCATGAAATCCATATCCTCTACTGAAGCCAGAGAATGCAGGAAAGAAGTAATGAATCGAGTAATCTTTGTGGCATCTTTATATAACTGAAGGCGCCAAGTATAAGAGAGAATGCTATTCCCGCCTAAACACGAAAATATCCTATGATCCTATCACCTGGGCCAAATATCTGGCTATGCGGATAGCCCATACAACTAATCCAGGTTTTGCCGTGGAGAACCTTTCTTTGAAGAGTTACTTTGGCCCGATATAAACATTGTGTGATGGAGTATTAATTTTTAATATCTAATTAAGCATTTCCTAATGGATAAATACGATTTAAATTTGAGTTTGATTGTCAACTCTCAATTTTATTCTGGTGCTTTGGGTTTAAATGTTGGAGAAACTTCTATTTTCCAATTGAAGTTCTACCTCCAATGAAGATTTTTAGGAGAATTGAGGAAAATATATTTTTTATCAGTAGCACACTCTCATATTTAGCAAAAAGAGAGTCTTAGTCTAACATTGACACAATGTCAAATTGACAATTTATGCTAAATTCATTGTCTGTGGGCAGGTTTGCAGTTGTCCCACTGTGCAAGGTGTGAAATTCGTTGGTGATGGTTACGCTCATTGTGAAGGTAGTAAAGCCGTGCATTAAATAATTCATCAACATACTACTGGGGTGGGGGTTCTAACACGCTTAATTTCTTGTGGGCTTAATAGCAACTGGAGCACTGTGATGTCTATTTAATAATGGGGGATGTTGGAAGCAAATTAGGGATGGTGTAACATATTCTGCTTAAAACGTGAGCAGTTTTTTGTTGCTACATTGCATATTTTTTAATTCGCCTTTTAGGAAAGTGATGAGTGTTTCTTTTTGTGCGTTTTTCAGGATGAACACACAAAGGGTTGCCACTGCCCTCCAGGTTTTAAAGGTGATGGGGTTAGTACATGTGAAGGTAGAGTTTATTACTGTTTGGGACTTCTGTCATAAATGCCATAAGTGATGTGATAAGTGAATTACACCCAACTGGACTACGATAAAGCCTTTTGGGAGGCGAAAAAGTCCGTGTAGGCTCAGTCTAAAGTGGACAAAAATCCGTTTGTGGTGCTAACAATAGAAACTTTACAATGTTCCTCACGGCTCACACCTTAGCCTGATCCATAGATTTCAAAGGTTCTAACTTGTAATAATTTGTTTACAGATACATTATAATTGATTGTTTGGAGCAAAAACTTTATTCCTTCAACTTCGGGCGTTTTGCAGGTATTAATGAATCCAAGGAGAAAACAGTGTGTCAATGCCTTGAATGTAAATGCCCTAACACATGGGGCGGTTATGAATGCAATTGTCGTGGAAATCTGCTATACATGATTGAGCACGACACATTTATACATACATTACAATGTTGTTTGGTGTAAATGGTGTTTTCAGTTGATATGTCCTGCATTTCAAGCAATAAAAGTTCTTTAAAACGGGCTCTAAGTCTTTTGAGTAACACTTTTCTACATTGATAACAAGAATACGCCACTGTTGGCTACCGAACTGGTGTTTTAGAATGTACTGTCTCTCTGCAGAGGAACATTGATTCGGAGATTCGTGCCATCGTTGCACAGTACATGCCCTTGGACAATCAAGGAGAGGTCCCCAACCATAGTCTCTCATGGAAAGTTCTGATTATCAAGCTCCTCCCTGTCGCAGCTGAATGATGGGTGTTACTTGGTGGTGTAAAGAGACATCTCCTATGTTGCTGATCCAGAACTAAAACCCTGTCTCCTTTTAAGCTTAAGGCTTATCCTCCTTTTTGCATCTGATATGCCACTGGGTTCTTAGACAAAATGTTCCATTTAATGGACAACAGATGTTCTATGCATGTGTATATATGTAATCCGTAGGACATCCACTAAGCTCCAGTAATTTAGGGAGATAGGAAATTCACATGTAATGCTGTCTGTGTCTTCTCTTCAGATAAAATACAGGGATATCCCAGAAGAAACTCTAAAAATAAGATTAAATGAACATAATTTGCCATGTAAGATCATTTCCTCTGCTAAAATAGGACTTGCTAAACCTAGGAAAAGAATTGTAGGACTGAAGGAATCTTAATTTTACAATAAAACACTGAAGGCCAGGTCGTGTGTATATATACATGGTTTACTGTCATTTGTAGATACCATAGCAAGTAGGGCTGGATTTTGGTCAGTACTCAACTGGCCTGTTCTAGGTAGAGCTGGAATTAAAATCTTGTTCAATTAAACCAGCTCTAATTCTAAACCAGCTGTTTGTTTTTTAGCCCTTCTTTTTATGGTTTAATAAAGAAAGAATGATGGTAGGCCTGGACTCGGGCCAGGCGGCCCGCCCCGGAACCGGCCCGGGAACCGGTCGGGGGGGGCGGTTTGGGTCGACCCGGCCCGGCCCGGTGGAAGTAGCGGTTCGGTCTCGGGCCCTTCAAATGGCGAACCGGCCCGGCGGGGCCGGGGTCGGTTCGGGCCTAACGGCTATTTTTATTTTTATTTTTAAATAATTGGAAGGCTTCTAGCCGTTGGGAGACCTCCCAAACGGCTTTATTGCCGTTGGAGGGGGTGGGAGGGGGGTCCAGGGGTTTTGGGGGTGGGGGGGTGGGGATAAAAAAAACTTATTTATACTTCTATTTTCTATACATTTTTTACACCTCTTCTCCAACTCTTCCTACTCTCTAATTCCTTATTCCCTCATACTCTTAAATCTTAATCATCTCCATCTTCATCTTCTCCAAACCTCTCTACATATATATATTATTATATAATTATTATATCTACTTATATATTAATTATCTACTTATATACCTATATTATATTACTAATATATATTATCTACTTAATATATACTTATTATCTTCTTAATATTTACTTTGATATCTACTTATCATCTATACTTATTGTTATTTACTTATATATTAACGTATTAATTATCTACTTTACATACATATATTATATTACTTGTATTCCTTATCTACTTAATCTCTACCTATTATCTACTTAGATATATATATTAAAGTATTATATACAAGTGTATTACTCATCTTATAGTAATATACTTATATATTATATACTATAAACATTCTATTATATATTAGTTAGAAAATAATCTACTTATATACCTATATTATATTACTAATATTTATTATCAACTTAATATATACTTAAATTACTTATTATCTACTTATACATCTCCATCTTCATCTTCTCCAAACCTCTCTACATATATATATTATTTATATAATTATTATATCTACTTATATATCAATTATCTACTTATATACCTATATTATATTACTAATATTTATTATCTACTTAATATATACTTATTATCCACTTATACATCTCCATCTTTTTAATATTTACTTTGTTATCTATATTTATTGTTATTTACTTATATATATATATTAAAGTATTATATATAAGTGTATTACTCATCTTATAGTAATATACTTATATATTATATACTATAAACATTATATTATATATTAGTTATACAATTATATTAGTTACACTTGAATTCACAGTAATTAAATTCATCGTATTAGTTAATTTTTACATTTTTCATTAAAGTATAAAAGTAGTTAATTGTTACATTTTTCATTAAAGTATAAAACTAGTTAATTTTTACATTTTTCATTAAAGTATAAAAGTAGTTAATTGTTAATTGTTACATTTTTCATTCAAGTATAAAACTAGTTAATTGTTACATTTTTCATTCAAGTATAAAATTAGTTAATTGTTACATTTTTCATTAAAGTATAAAACTAGTTAATTGTTACATTTTTCATTCAAGTATAAAACTAGTTAATTATTAATTGTTGCATTAAAGTATAAACTAATAAAAGTAGTTAATTTTATTAGTCGCATTTTATTATTACTATTGAACTCATATTAAAACATTTGATATCATATAATATTTGTTACATTTTAAAGATGGACCGTGCTAGACATTCCGTAGATGTGGGTAGTCTCCAACGCAACCGAAGGAAGGAGATTGCGACAAGTCATCCTAGTTTACGCAAAGGCAAAGGTAAAGGGCGGGCCGGGTCTTCTTCTCAAAGTCGAGAAGATTTTGATGACGGATACCAACGGCGAGATGGGGATGCGATGTCCGACGAGCAACTACAATAACTATTGCGTGAATTATGTGGTTCTAATACTTTGATGGGTAGAGTTTTTCATCAACGATGTGCATACCATATTATAAATTTATGTGTGCAAGACGGTATAAAAGCGTTAGGAGATGCTATGGAGGTAGTCAAGGGGGGATTAGACGTATTTGGGGCAATGGTCAACTTAAATTAAAATGACAAAATTATTTAATTGAAAGAGGTGTGAAATAGTACTTATAAATTAATTAAAGTTCTTCTTAAATATAAAGAACATTTTCCTGTTTTTTTAAGACAATTGATAACTATATTTTAAACCCCACTCACATCGACGCTTGCGAAAAAATTTGTAATGTTTTGATATATTTTAATAATGCAACTGATAGTTTTAGTCATGTTTATGCACATATTCCGCATATTTATAGTATTGCATTTATTCTCGATCCTCGTTATAGACTTGGTAATTTGGAAGAATGTTTGAAGTTCTATTATAATGCTTTTTTTGGTCCATTTCCAATGTATGATGATAACGCCATAGATCCGCAAGTTGAATACAACGAGGTTAGTAATTTATTTTATGCCTTATTTAATGAGTTTCGTGCACAATATGACAACGCGCCCCCTCTCCCGACACACACATCTTCATCTAAAGGAAAATCACTTTTTAAATCTGCTTTTGGCAATCTTATGAAAAAACCTAAAACAACTCACACTACTGAACAAAGCGCACTTTGTATATTAATTATGAGGTAGAATTTGACAAAAATGAAGAGTTTGACGTTCTAAAGTGGTGGAAGTCAAAAGATAGAATGTTCCCGATTTTGGCACGGATGGCTAAGCAAGTGCTATCAATGCCGGTTTCAACAGTTGCCGTGGAACAAGAATTTAGTTCGGTCGGCAACATTCTAACGGCATCTAGAACAAGTTTGAGCGCTGAGTCTCTTGAGACGCTTATATGCTACCACGATTGGTTGAATGCCATACGTAGATGTCAAGAAGTTAGCATCACCCCCTCCCAAGACTTTATGGATGAATCAACAACCGAGGGTGGCTCCTATGCCGGATATTCCGATTGATTAGTATTTTACAGTTTATTATAAAATGTATTTCATGTTTTAATTTTTCCTTCAATTCTCTATTGTAATTTGTAAAGTTGTATTTCATATTTCAAATAAATATACATTCTTTTTTTTATATGTAGCACTTCTCAAATTAATTAATTAATTAATTGGTTACAAACTTACAACTTAGAATTTATTGTATTAGTATTTTTTGAAAAATGTATTTCATATTTAAGTTGTATTAAAAAGATTAAAAAAAAATAAACTAGGCCCGACCCGACCCGGCGGCTGACCCGGCCCGAACCGGAACCGGGCGAAGGACGGGCCGGTTCCGGGCCCCCCTTTATAGGACCGGAGGCCCGACCGGGTCTAGGCCCGGGCCCAGCCCAAACCGAGTCCAGCCCTAAATGATGGCATGTGATCTAAAGCAGCGACGGAGCCACACTATGAGTTGTGGTGTCAATTGACACCACTCAACTTTTTCTTCTTCATATATAGGTATATACGTATAATTTTTCAAAAAAGATAAAATATACACCATTGGAAAATATTAGAAATTGATTAATATAAAACTAAAACATACATAAGGTTCAAAAATAGGACTAATTTTATTCCTCAAATAGAATTTATTTAGTCCTATCAAAAGAAAAAATTATTTAGGGAATTATCTAAAAATATATGTATAATCTTTCAAAAATTAAAAAATTGTCACATCCATTTATAAATTGGAGGTCAATGTATATATTTTAAAAGTTGAAACACTAACTTAAAAATAATGGAAAAGTTTATAGTTTACATATTACTACTACTGACGAGCACTTTCTCATAGACTCATAGTGTGCTTCAAATTAAATTCACTACTAAGGGCTAATACCGTAGTATAGCGTAGTAAAGTTCGTATCCACAAGGAAAGATGCTTTTTGCGTATGTGTAAGCGTAATTAATAAAAGTAAACGGAAGGGGGAATTGGAAATTTTGATAATTGAGAAAGAAAATAAAATACTAAAATGAGGGAAATAAAATATCAAAGGTAATCAACCTTGGTTTTGCTACTTTCCACTTGTTGATATATTTTAGTCGATCATTGTTATATCTATAACTTATCCCCTCTCGAATACTCAATCAAGGAGTATCTCCAATTCATCGAGGGTAGTTATTAACAACGACCGTTCATTAATAACCCTTACTATTAGTCAAGTATAGAACACCGCCATATACCGACTTGATAGTAGCATTAATCTCTTAACTCCTTGATGAAATCAATTGAGATTGATAACCTCAACACAACGGTTTCGGTTTAACCAACAAAATTAATCCCTCTTAAGTTTATTAACCACGATCGTGCATTAATAAACCGAAGTTACTTACTTGTGAAACCATCAACGATTAACCATCGGTTCATTGATCGTTTCTAGTAGTAATTAATGTCGAGATGTTAACTAATTGTCATCTTAGCAACACTTCCAAACATTAATATAGAGATAGATTAAGAGAAGAATTAATATTCAAGGGAAGAAGTTAAGAAAATAACTCACAACTTTAATAATCAACAAGCTTCAAGAGCAAAACCAAGCTCAAAAGACTACCTAAAGTACAAGAATAATGTGTATATGAAAGAGGGGATTAATTGGTATCTAAAATAGGAAGAAAAGGGGTGTTTTTATAGGAGAAGTGAGGTGGTTGGGTCTAAGACATAATCTGATTTTCCCATGTTCACTTGCTTTATTTGATCTCTTATGATCTCTAGGTCATATCATATCCGATTTTTCACATTTCTTTTGTCCTCCGTGAAGCTTCCTCTTGTCTCCAATTCTCCTTCCTTATGCTCCCAAGCTCCTTCCTCTTCT